CCCCAATGTCCAGCCTGGCCTTGGGCACTCAAAGGGATCCAGGGGTGCAATTCCATCCCAGGGAACAATTCCCAATTCCCAAAATCCCACCCAAATCCCCCMTTTCCCAGTGTGACCCCATTCCCTGTGTCCTGTCCCTCCATCCCTTGGCCCCAGTCCCTCTCCAGCTCTCCTGGAGCCCCTTCRGGCCSCAAAAGGGGCTCTGAGCTCTCCCTGGAYCCTTCCCTTCTCCARGKGAACATTCCCAACTCTYCCATCCTTTCTCACATCCATTCTGGGAATTTTTCCTTTCCCTCCTGGAAAGATCATTCCAGCCCAGCACGGCTCAGCACCCTCAGATCCATAGGTGTGACACCATTCCCAACCCTTCAGCTTCCCAAAAATCCCCTGCTGGGATCTTGGACCACCTCAGTCCATCCTTAGAGCTGAGAATTCCCTGTGATCCAATTGTCCAACCCAAAAATTCATGGAGAGGTAGCAAAGTATGAGAGAGAAGGAAGGGAGGGAGATTATATGGGATTTTGGGGATTCCTGGCTGGGATGGAATTCCCAGAGCAGCTGTGGCTGCCCCTGGATCCCTGGGAATGAATTTCTGGAGAAATTGGATATTTTGAGGCTCATTGATGAAAAATCCACGGGACAGGAGCAGCTCCAGGCAAAGCAATGGATCCTTCCCACAAAAAAAGGGATTAAAGGATTCCCAAGACTGCACCGAGTTCAGAAAATGCTGGAACTGCCCCTCTCCCTCACASTTCCCAATTTTCTGGTTCTTCCCTCATTTTTCTCCCAAAAATTAATTTTTGCAGGTAAAACAAACACAGCTCCAAGTGCAAAATCCCAGATTTTAATGGGAAATGAAAACCAGGAATCTGGTGGAGAGGGACATTTCCCATCCATGCGCTGCCATAAATTTTCCCTACCAGCCAGGAAATCAGGAATGGAGATGAATGAGGAAAAAACTGGAATTTTTCAAGAATTCATTGGAATTTGTCAAGAATTCATTGGAATTTTTCAAGAAATCATTGAAATTTTTCAAGAATTCATTGGAATTTGTCAAGAATTCATTGGAATTTCTCAAGAATTCATTGGAATTTCTCAAGAATTCATTGTCAAATGTGTTCCAATTTTCAATTCAAGGCTGAAATGATGAAGAATTTTAAATCTGAAGCCTTGGAAACTGCTCTCTATCCCGAATTATCACGGAACACAACATCAGTTATTGTTTTGCCTCTTTCCCTTTTCGAAGATGTTTCCAAACTCAGGAATTCCAAAAATAAGGATTTTCCATCCGTATTTTAAGAAATATCATCAGAGAAATAATTTCTTTGAACACATCTGAGAAATTCCTTAAAAAATCCAAACATTCCCTTCGTGCTCTAATGATGGGTTCGCTTCCAGCAGGGAAATCTGTTGGAATCTGTTTCCCACAGATTTGTTTTTGACAGTTGTCTTTTTTCCATCTGATTTYACTCAAAACACATTCACTAAAACAAAGCAAACCCAATCTGAGAGAAAATATTGGTGAAACAGTCAAAATCCGTCCAAGATTTTTGGGAATCTCAGAGGAAAATCTCATGGGAAGCACAAATTTCTCCCAATATTCCCATTTAGGATTCCCCAAAGGAATTACAGTGAAAATACTCCACAAATAAAAAAAAATCAAACCAGAAAATTAAAATTATTTTTTAAAAATTTGAATAATTAAAAAAATTAAAATAACTTCTAACTTTTTCTTTTTTTTAAATAAAGGACAAAATTACCCAAAGCAACTTAGAATTTTTAATTCCCGTTCTTTGATTYTTGGGGATTTTGCTGTGAGCGCCAAGGGTTTTTTATTCCATCTTTTTCCCGGTTGGATTTCATCTTCCCTGGCACCTGAAGCTTCCCCAGCAGTCCCAGCTGCCTGCAAATATTTGATTGTTCACTAAAAATTCCCATTCTGCCATGGAGGAAAACTGAATTTCCAGAGGATTCCCAATCCTTCACATTTTTCCCTGCAATCCCAATCCTTCAATGTTTTCCCCTACAATCCAAATCCTTTGTATTTTTCACTGCAACTCCAATTCTTCACATTTTTCCCTGCAATCCCAATCCTTCACATTTTTCCCTGCAAACCCAACATTCCTTATTTTCACCGTGATCCCAACACTTCACATTTTTCCCTGTGATCCAAATCCTTCATTTCGCATTCTTCACCACAATCCCAATCCTTCACATTTTTCCCTTCAATCCCCATCTTGCACATTGTTCACTGCAATCCCAATCCTTCACATTTTTCCTTCAATCCCCATCTTGCACATTGCTCACTGCAATTCCAATCCTTCACATTTTTCCCTGCGATCCAAAACCTTCACATTTTTCTCCACAATCCCAATCCTTCATTTTTTCCCCCAACAATCCAAATGCTTCATTTTTCCCCCTACAATCCAGATACTTAGTATTTTTCACTGCAACTCCAATTCTTCACATTTTTCCCTGCGATCCAAATCCTTTGTTTCACATTTTTCCCTGCAATCCCAATCCTTCACGCTTTTCCCAGCAAACCCAACACTCCACATTTTCACTGTGATCCCAACCCTTTACATTTTTCCCTGCAATCCAAAACCTTCACATTCTTCACCACAATCCCAACCCCTCACATTTTTCACCACAATCCAAATCCTTCATTTTTCCCTGCAATCCCAATCCTTCACATTTTTAACCACAATCCCAATCCTTTCCCATTTTTCCCAACACTCCATATTTTCACTGTGAACCCAACCTTTCACATTTTTCCCTGCAACCCAAATCCTTCATTTCAGATTCTTCACCACAATCCCAACCATTCACATTCTTCCCTGTGACCCTTCACATTTTACACCACAGTGCCAATCCTTCCCATTTTTCCCCTGCAATCCCAATCTTGCACATTTTTCACTTCAATTCCAATTCTTCCCATTTTTCCCTGCGATCCCAAACCTTCACATTTTTCACCACAATCCAAATCCCTCACATTTTTTCCCACAATCCAAAACATTCACATTTTTCTCCACAATCCCAATCCTTCATTTTTTCCCCTACAATCCAAATCCTTCTTTTTTTTTCCCTACAATCCAAATCCTTCATTTTTTCCCCTACAATCCAAATCCTTCATTTTTCCCCCAACAATCCAAATCCTTCATTTTTTCCCCCTACAATCCAGATACTTTGTATTTTTCACTGCAACTCCAATTCTTCACATTTTACCCTGCGATCCAAATCCTTTGTTTCACATTTTCCACCAGAATCCCAACCCTTCACATTTTCCCCTGCAATCCCAATCCTTCACGTTTTTCCCTGCAAACTCAACACTCCATATTTTCACTGTGATCCCAACCCTTTACATTTTTCCCTGGAATCCAATTTCTTCATTCCACATTCTTCACCACAATCTACATCCCTCACATTTTTTCCCTGCAATCCCAACCCTTCACATTTTCCCCTGCAATCCAAACCCTTCATTTTTCACTGCAATCCCAATCTTGCACATTTTTCACTTCAGTTCCAACCCTTCACATTTTTCCCTGCGATCGAAATCCTTCATTTCATATTTTTCCCTGCAGACCCAATTCTTCACATTTTTCCCTATAACCCCAACACTCCATATTTTCACTGTGATCCCAATCCTTCACATTCTTCACCGCAATCCCAACCCTTCACATTTTTCACCACAATCCAATCCTTCCTTTTTCCCTACAATCCCAATCTTGCACATTTTTCACCACAATCCCAACCCTTCACATTTTTCGCTGCATTCCCAACCCTTGTCCTTTTCCCAACCAAAAAACTCCCCAAACCTGCACCATCCACCGCTAAAATCAGGATTCGCAAAACCCCATCAATTTCCTCGGCCCATCAGACATTTTAAGACCTTCACAAAACCCCCAAAAGGAAGAATTCCAAGGATTTACTCACAGTACACGTCCACGCGGATGGATTTGATGGCCGGAGAGCCCAGGCCGTTCTCAGCCTTGCAGTAGTAGCGGCCTCCCTGGTGTCTCTGGATGTTGGAGATCCTCAGGGTTTCGTTGAAGACACTGGAATCTTGGAATCGGTCAGAGGCACTTCCTGCTGTTTTGGTCCACCTGATCTGAGCAAGCACCGAAAAACATCGTTATTTCCGTCTGCAAAAAAAGCAGAGTGCAAAATTCGGCGCCAAACTGAGAGGTTTGGGTGGGTGGCACCGGGATTGAGGATTCAGGGAACTTCTCCAGGAAGCTCAAGAGCTCAGAACAACAAAATCCTTCATCCAAGAGTCCCTGAGGTGTCGCATTTCATGGAATCATGGAAGGGTTTGATTTGGGAGGAGTTTAAAGCTCAGCCAATCCCACCCCATCCATGGCAGGGACCCCTCCCACTGTCCAAGGGTGTCCCAGTCACAATGTCCAGCCTGGCCTTGGGCACTCAAAGGGATCCAGGGACAGTTTCTCTAGGCCACCTGGAATTATCCTGCCTGCCACCAGGAGAGACCACAGACACCTCCCTGCAATAAGACTGAATTTCAGAATCCCAAAATCCCCAGAATCCCGGAATCACCAGAGCTGGAAGAGACCTTCCAGTTCTTTGAGTCCAACCCCTGCTCTCACCTAAACCATGGCACCAAGCACCACATCCAATCTTTGTTAAACACACCAAGGGACGGTGACTCCACCCCTTCCCCAAGCAGACCATTCCAGCGTTTTATCCCTGTTTCCATAAAGATTTCTTTCCTGAGATCCACCCCACATTTCCCTTGGTGCAGCTCCAGGCTGTGTCCTCTCGTTCTTCTGCTTTCTGCCTGGAGAAAGAGCCCGACCCCACCTGCCCATGATGCCTTAGGATTTTTAGTTTCTCTATTTTCATGCATCTGTATTCTTGTACTTCCCTAGTACAGCACTAAAACTCCCATTCTCTCATCTTTAGACAAAACAATCCCTCTCTGAGCTGAATCCAAGGACACCTCAGAGCCCCAAAATAAAAAAACAACAGCGAGCTGGGGGGTGCAGTTTGGGGTGGGTGACATCATCACCTGAAAAGATCATTGGAGAATTAAGACCCAGTGTTAATAAGGCAGAACTTATAAAAGGTGAAGATCTCGTGCCTCGGGGTCCATTGTTGGGCTTTGTCTGCCCTAATGTAACAGCAGACCTGTTAGGCCTGGTTTAAAGTTGTGTATTCTCATTCTCTTAAGTTTGTCTGGCCCCTCTTTCAGATCAGCCTGATTGATAAGGCATCACCCACAGCCACCCTTCAGAAAGTTTCAGAGAGGGATAAGGTCACCTCTGAGTCTCTTTTCAGACCCAAAAAATCCTTTTTTTTCCATGAGCTCCCATTCCCTTTCCTGGAGAGATGAGAGGGACCCCAAGGGCTGYAAGGCAGATGGGAATCCCAGGGATGGATTCCAGACCAGAATTCCATGGGCCCACGCTCACAGCACAAAGGAGCTGCTCGCCTTGGAATGGTTCAAGATCCTGGGAACAAAGAACATTCCCAGGAAACCCCGACAGCTCCGTGTCTCAATCCGTGTCCTCCTGCTCTGTGGAAACACCTCCATTGGGGGCTCAGGGAGTCACAGCCAATCCCCACCTCCAAGGATTCCTAAAATTCCATCCTTTGTCCACCTGAAGCAGATCCCAACTATTCCCACCAGGAGATCCAGCACCGACACCAGCAATCCACAGTGAACCACCGGGAATTCCCTTTTACAAGGACAGGTTTGCTCTAGGAAAACTCCCCCACATTCCCAAGGTTACAGAATCCTGGGGTGGTTTAGGATTTTAAATCCCATCCCATTTCACCCCATTCCATGGCAGGGACCCCTCCCACTGTCCCAATGTCCAGCCTGGCCTTGGGCACTCAGAGGGATCCAGGGGTGCAATTCCATCCCAGCCCCTCCCCAYCCTCCCAGCCAACAATTTCATCCTCAATAACCAGGAGTTCTGGGGTTTTGGGAATAAATATTGCTCCAGACCATCAACACACACCGGTGGCATCAAAACTTCCCTTCCTTTTTTATTTCCCATGGGAACATCTGAAATATTGGGCTGGAAAACGGCTCCAGGTCAAAGTGTCATTCACCTTTCCAAAATTTTAACGCAGAAAATTGGAGCGGAAAAGGAGAGAACTCAAAGGAATTCCTGCTGGCTGGAATTCTGGGAATAAATATTGCTCCAGACCATCAACACACACCGGTGACATCAAAACTTCCCTTCTTTTTTATTTCTCATGGGAATGTCTGAAATATTGGGCTGGAAAATGGCTCCAGGTCAAAGTGTCGTTCACCTTTCTGAACTTCTAAATTTTTGGAGCGGAAAAGGAGAGAACTCAAAGGAATTCCTGCTGGCTKTGGAAAAAGGGGGATCCACAATTCTGGGAAGGTGAGGATCTGGGTTTTCCAACTAAATGAGGGGCTGGAGAGGGACTGGGGACAAGGGATGGAAGGACAGGACACAGGGAATGGGGTCACAATTCCTGGATAAATCCTTTTTTAGGAATCCCTAATTCCTGTCCCTGGAATTCACATCCCAACACTCCGCCGGCTGCCAGGGAAAAGCGCAATTTTTCCAAGAAAAAAAGTGACAGGAGCTGTGAACAGGCAGGACGTGAGCATTCCCACTCCGTGCCAGCGATCCCAAGGGAACTGCTCCTTCCCAGCTCGGGGTTGTCACTCACTGGGAAAAGGAAATTTCCTTTCATTTTCCAGCAGGGAAAAACCGCGAGAATTAATTACGGGAAAAAAATCAATGGAAAACCCACAAATACAGAGCACCTACAAAAGGATTTCAGCTCTTTTTTCCCTTTATTCCAAAAAATTCCAGAGTTATCCTGGAATTAAAATCTGGGGATGCCTCCAAAATGGAAATAATTTTTTAAAATKAAAATAAAATAAATTAAAAATYTATTTCTYTGCCTYTGAAMTCAGGTTTTACAYGTTGGCACCCAAAYTCTGGAAAATCAGGCACCGCAGATGTCCAAGAGGTCAGAATCCCAAAAATTAAGGATTTGTGTTTGGMATTGCAGAGGAAACATTCCTTACATTACAAGGATGAAATTCTAAATATTAACTGGAAAAAATAAAGGAATTTTAAGGGATCACTTAACTGCAAATAATGAAGCAATTTTAAGGAATTACTAAAAAATTTGGGGKGATTTTAATGAGTGGATCCTGAAGAAAAAACCATTGCAAGCCTTAGGCAAATTGGTAAAATTTAATAAAAAATTAGTTTAAACAAAAAATTGATAAAATTCCTTTGTGCTGCTCAACTGGAACAGCCTGTTTTTTTTTTTCTGGAAAAGTGGGATTTAGGGAAATTCTTTCCCAAAATACCTCAAAATAACCTGTCCAGTGATTAATTGCAGCAATTTAACCCGCTTTGATTACAAAGTCGTTCCTTACGACTTTCGGATATTTCCCTGTCCCAAAAATTACTGCTTCAATTCTGAATAATCCATAAACATTTTCCAATAAATACCTCACCGGAGGATGATGGATTTTCCATCCTGCATGGCTGGAAAATCCCTTTTCCAGCATTAAATTCCTGAATTCAGGAATTAATTATAAAACATTGCAATGAATGATTTAATTTTGTTTCTTCTGGGGTCTGGATCATTTGAACCTCCAATTATGGACTGGCTCCCACCTGAATTATCCACAGAATTTGAGGAAAGGATCCAAACAGATCTAAATTCTGGAATTTTTTTCATTCTCGCTGCTTCTTTTATTCACTGAATAATGAATAAAATATTCATTGTAATGTTTTATAATKAAATAATTCAAAAACTTTTCAGCTTTGTAATAAAGACATAATTTAGGGGCAGGAAAAAGCAGACAAAGCTCCAGCTGGAATTCCTAAATATTCCTTTTCATAGTGACTTTCCAATGCTGGAATTCCTTATCAAACCCCTGGAAACACAAACACATCCTCATCCCTTCAATGCTCAGGAATTCATTCCCTGGAATTCCTCAAAGGCAAAGAAATTCAACACATTTTGTAATTCTGAGCTTCCAAACTGGCATGGAGTTAAACCTGGGGATGAGAACTCCATAAAATCCAAATCCAGACTTATTTCCCTTGTGAACCACTCTAAATCCAATTTTTGTTTTTTCCCAGGGACAGAAGAAACTGTTATTTTTGTCATCCAGGTTCAGGGATTGATGAAAACCTCACATTTTTTCAGGAATAAAGGCTGGGTTGATCAAACTCATGGGAGTTTAGAGGCATTTCACGGGGAAGAGGTGAAAAATTGGAAAGAAGGGGACTGGGAGAGCAATGAAAAAGGGAATTGGAGCCAAGGATGAGGCAATTCCAGGGATTCTGGGCAGGGGTGACCTCCCAGAAACAAAATTGTTCARAATTGCTCCTCTCCTATAAAAACAGAATAATTGGGATGGTGCAGGCTGGAGAAGGGAAGGGTCCAGGGAGAGCTCAGAGCCCCTTTTGGGGCCTGAAGGGGCTCCAGGAGAGCTGGAGAGGGACTGGGGACAAGGGATGGAGGGACAGGACACAGGGAATGGGGTCACACTGGGAAAATTAAGGATTTAGATGGGATATTGGGAATTGGGAATTCCTGGCTGGGAGGGTGGGGAGGGGCTGGGATGGAATTGCACCCCTGGATCCCTTTGAGTGCCCAAGGCCAGGCTGGACATTGGGGACCCTGGGACAGCGGGAGCAGTCCCTGCCGTGGATGGGGTGGGATGGGATCTCAGTGATCCAAACCCTAAATCCCAATGATACAAACCTCAAATCTCCCAGTGATCCAAACCCGAAACCTTCCAGTGATCCACAACCTCAATCTCAATCCTCCAAACCCACAATCTTAATGATCCAAACCAGAAATATCCCAAAGATCCAAACCCTAAATTTACCAGTGATCCAAACCCTAAATCCCAGCAATCCAAACACTGAATCTTCCAGTGATCCAGACCCTGAATCTTCCAGTGATCCACACCCTCAATCTGAACGATCCAAACCTTCAAAGTCAATGATCCAAATGAGAAATATCCCAGTGATCCAAACCCTCAATGATCCAAACCCTAAATCACAATGATACAAATCAGAAATATCCCAAAGATCCAAACCCTAAATTTTCCAGTGATCCAAATCCCCA